CAATCACTCTTTCATGTAATTACTCTTTCGGACTCTTCCTCAGAACTCTGCTGATTTTGGTTCCTCCTAATGCCCTAGAGTTTCATATCCAAGTGGTCATTAACTTTGGCATCAAACTTTCTTTACAATATAATAGTTTCCCCCGTTTCCCATTGTTATCACCATACCCTAGCCATGTTTTGTAATTCCTAGTTTTCTTATCTTCCTAATTAGTCTCTCTGTCCCTAATCTCTTTCACTTCAAAATGTTGTGTGCACCAGAGCCAAGTTACTTTCCTCAAAAGTCTGCTTTTATCTTAACAGTCTCACGCTCAAAATCTAAATTGCTGTCAGTTACATGTAGATCAGTGCTCTTACCATCGACAGAATTTTAAAATGGAAGCTACTTCCATACTTACCAAACAGATTAATTTAGATGAATTGGCCGGAAAGCCAGTTGCAATTTGATGGCAGTCTGAACTGTAGGATATTTTCTAAACAGGCAACATACATTTTTAAGAAAGATGGTCCTCAGCCTCAAGCAAGATTTGCGAAACCAAAGGTACCCACTGCTTGTCATGAATTAACTTTTCTTACACCCATCTGCCATCTATTTATATATGCTATTCTTCAAAGAATTCAAAATTGTTATGGTTTTCTGTAGGACTCCATTTCTCCTGGAACCTCTGGCGAAAAAGATTGCTAGAGTAAATGTAATTACTAATAAAGTGTTACAAGTAGTGATTCTGGGGCTAGCGTAATGGCTGGAAAAAACAAAACGAGACAGACCAGAAACAAGCACCATTTATAATTAGCAGTGGCCATTTGCATATAAACAGCAAATGTTGCCAAATTCAAATTCCATCTTATGAAGAGAGTAAGAGCAATTATAAATGGGCAACCAGAACACAGAGGTCTTGGGGCATCTATGTGTATGCATGCATGCGTGTGTGTGTGTGTGTGTGTGTGTGTGTGTGTGTGTGTGTGTGTTACATATGATGCAGTTTGCTTTTCCATACCCCTGAAACTAAACTGCCTCTATGTAATGGTATCTAAATTGTGTCTTTATTGTTTTATAGACTAGAGTTGATTATCTTTGTAGTCAGACTGATTTCCTGAAATTGAAAATGATTTGGATTTAAATTAATAGAGTTTTGCTGTACATAACTTGTAAGGAGGTTTAAACTACTACATAATTTATTTTCCTATATAGCTGTTAAGATATAATATAGCATATATTAGAATAATTTTTTTGATAGGGTAATATAAAAACTTCTCTGGCCGGGCAGTGGTGGCGCATGCTTTTAATCTCAGTACTCAGGAAGCAGAGCCAGGCAGATCTCTGTGAGTTCCAGACCAGCCTGGTCTACAGAGTGAGATCCAGGACAGGCACCAAAACTACACAGAGAAACCCTGGCTCGAAAAACACCCCCCCCAAAAAAAAAACAAAAACCAAAAAACTTCTCCTTTTGGTGTATATGGGGGTAGGGGGCTGCTGGAGATCAGAGCCCTCTCTGCCATGGAGCTACACCAAAAATTCAGGAAAAAATATTTTGAGGGAGGAGAAAATATAATTGACGATTTAATTCTGACACTCTAACCAAAATTTAAAAATATTAAAATATCAAAAGCTATGGAGACAGGAGAAACAGCTCAGAAGGTAAGAACACTTACTGTGTCATCATGAGGATCTGAGTTCGGATCCTGCACTCCCTTAAATCCCAGGAAAGGCCTCATGTATCCGTAACCACAACAGTGTGAGTGTTGAGACAGGAGAGTTACTGGGGTTTGCTGGAGACTCTGTCTCAAGGGTATAAGGCCAGGAGTCATAGACCGGAACATATGATGTCCTTCTCTGGCCTCCATAAGCACACAGAACATCATCTGTGCACAGATATGCATATAGAACACACAAACACACATAGTGGGGGTGGCCGGTGGCGGTCTGTGTCTGTTAATGGCGTAGTGATATTGGTGTATTTAGATAGTATGCGGTTCCTAAAGTGTCAGAAAATCCTGATGTTCAGTAGACTTTAAGCAACCAACAAATTTATCTTGTCTTTAAAACTGCAGGAGGAAAATCATTCAAAGCCACCAATGTGGTTCAGCTTTGGGGGACCGAGTCTCCTTCAGGGTGCTCCTCTGCACTGCCAGCCTCCATTTCAAAGATCACCAGATGGTCCCAAACGACTGCTCTACTAGCAGGCATCTCTTTCACATTCTTGCCAGAAAAATAGACAAATAAAAATAAACCAATACAAAAGCTATTCCCACAAATCCCCCCCCCCCCCCCCCCCCCCCCCCGCAAACCACCAATAACAAGCCACATCAAAGTTTTACTGCCAAAACTATTAGGTCACGTGGCCTCTGTTTCATTCACTTTCTACCTGGTTAACAGTCTTTCATGACCAAGAAAGTAATAAACCATAGCTCCCATAGTCCCACATCACCCGAGAAGGAGATGTTAGGAGGACTTATTTTAGCCAATCATATCCAGTTACAGCAAGTTACAATTTAAATGCAGTTAATTGACTGTTGGTTTTTTAAAGCCAGAATCTAAAGATACTACACTAGCTAGTGCCGACCTGAGTGTTGCAATGTGTGTCAATATTTGTTTTCATCGTTTTCCACCTGGTTCATGACAATGCCCCCCCACCCCACCCCCACCCCCACCCCGTAGGACTTCAAACCCCAAAGCCCTTCAGGAGACAAGTCCGAGTCCTGCCTCCCCACACCTTCCCTCCTCCCTCTTGCTTTCCTAACTTGCTTTTGCGGTAGCTCATGTGACAGGAAAAGCAGAGAGGAAAAGTACTTTAGGAATAAACAAACTTAACCCCAAAGGGACTTTGGTGATAAACAACGTTAACATTCCCAGCTGAATCTTGTGCTGCGGAAGAAAGATCTTCAGGTTGTGAAGGGGACCTCTCTGGGACAGTGGGTTCCCCGGGAAGGTGGGAGTGGAGACTAAGCACTATTGGGGTCAGGTAGCTGCTGAGACTGGCTGGCTTAGGGTCTCTTGGTGCCAAAGGCAGACTCAGTATTTAAGGATCACAGTTACCCGCTCTTCGATAATCTTCACTTCTGCGACATTGTCCAAACTGATTGACAGAAGATTGCTTTATTATCTTGGGGTCTAGGAAGGTCACGTCTCTCTGGTGCTATTTCATTGTCTGGAGAGGGCATGTCCTGAAGTATGGGATGCCATGAGGTTCATCATGAATCCATTTGAGGGACATCATCTAGCCGTGGCCCAATTTTATCTTATTTGTTTTAGTCTGATCTGTTAAGTAAGGGCCTTGGATATCACCCTTGATTGTTGATGGAACTTCATATATTCCTGGCCTTGGCAACTCTCATTTTCCTAGAAATTTTTTTTAAACCCAGAATACAAAAGATGCCCAGCACTAAAATTACTTCACTTTAATTTTTGTTGTTATTTATTTATTTTAATTCTCATCATATATATTCAATATATACAGCACTGTGTTATACAACAATATTTTCATACAAGTGTGTATTCTACATTGAACATATCCACCCCCCTCCCCCATAACTTCCTAATGTCCTTTTTTCTGAGATTTTTAGATGACTCTTTGGGCAGGTTGAATTTCTCAGTTATGCTTCTAATCTAATCTGGTCCTGCTAATGAAGCCATTTTTACTAAAGGAAATTGACACCGTCTCCCGCTCCACTGTGCATTTTCTCATGCTATTTCTGTTTTGAAGATTGTGTCCTCCACTTCTAGTGCAGAAATGCTTACTCATAATCTCTTGATCGCAGCTTCGGCTTCAGACAGAGCTGAGTTCTTTTCTCAAGTTATGAGCTCTGCAGTTACCTAATAGTCTGTAATTACAGACATTTAGACTTTGAAAATCCAGTGTTTTCCCATTTCCATTTGAAGGAGGCAGATTTAAAGAGATTTACATGAAGAGACAAAAAAAAAAATCCGTTGTATTTTTAAGTCAAAACCTGCAGAAAGCAGCCTCGTTTTCTTCTGAGATCTCTGGTCGCCCCCTCTACTTCCTGAAGAGAGTCTTCATTAGGGGCCAGTGCACTAGTTCTTAACCTATGGGTCACGACCCCTTTGTGGGTCGAAGGACCCTTTCACAGGGGTCGCCTAAGACTGTCAGAAAGCACAGATGTCTACATTATGATTCATAACAGTAGCAAAATGACAGTTATAAAGTAGCAATGAAAATAATTGTATGGTTGGGGGTCACCACAGCATGAGGAACTGTATTAAAGGGTCCCAGCATTAGGAAGGGTAAGAACCACTCACTGGTCTAGTGGTTCTTAACACCCATTTAATTTGCCACTAGAGGAGAAGGGTGGGCTTCGAGTTTTGAGTAGTTCGTAGGGGGTCTTCAGCATTTAATGAATTCAAAAGGCTGCATAGGGAAGCCATGTGTTGGGGCAGGAAAAGAGGAAACATAACAGGAAATATAGGGCATCTGAGTCCACCAATTGGAGGACTTTGGATATGTTGCAATCTACTTAGAAATTCTGATGAAGAGGAAAAGATACTGGGTATATGTGAGTGTGTGTCTATGTGTGTGTGTATCTGTCTCATATAGCAGAGACCATATTTCCATTTCCAGAAAACCGAGCATAAAAGGAGGGTCAGTGCTGGGAGAGAAACATAAACAAACCATTTTTTTGGGGACACACACCAAATAAGTGAATGGATTGATCCTAGGTGAAAAAGGTATCTCTTCAAGTGGGACTAAAAGTTTAGCGGTTTGAAAAAGTCACCTTTTCCATACATCTAATGAGTGTAAATGAGTACATCGTCTAATTAAATTAAACTTGGTTGCAATTTGTTTTTGTCGTCGTTACAGATCTATAATCTTCATGTTTCTAACATGAAAACGGTTTTCACTGAACAAATCTGAAAAATGTCTTCACTGAAGAATTTATTTTCCTTCTCCAGGGTCAGAGTTTTCTGTTTTCCCTTTTAATACTTAATTATTTAAGTTAAAAATCAAGGGAAAAGCTACTTCAATGAAATAATTAAGATATAAAGAGGCAAAGCTGGTCTTCCTTTCATGCATGTTGATCTGCAAATCCTATGAACTGTAAATGCCTTTTGGATTTGAAAAGTAGCCTTATGTCTAGTTACAAATTGAAGAAGTGGACTCAACTGGATAGAATTTCCATAATTCTGAATGCCTTGATTTTTTTTTACCACTGCCGGTGGAAAAATCTTCCTTAAGGGCAGGCAAAGGAAGCTGTTAGCAAACCTCCACAGGAGGGCACTCTAGTGTGATTGGTTCAAGCTGCGGCAGCTGAGGCCCATTCTGTCCTTATCCGGGTTTTAATGAAGTATCTCAAATAGACTGTGCGTTTCCTGAACTGGAAAAATTCGATGTTGCCCAAACTCGGGATGGTAGGTTTCACGTGAGTTTGTGTTTCTCTTTGGGTTCAAAACGACTGTAAGTAATTGAATCTTCCTTTGGAGGCATGTAGTCGCTGTAAACTTTATCTTAAAACACGGTAAAATGGGTAGGATGCATGCTTTGAATGAAGCAAAAGCTAAGCAGGTCAAAATTACAGCCGGCTTTAAAAATGGCTGGGATATTTTAGAACTGGCAAGCTAATCAATCGGAACTGAAGGCATTACCACAGAGGGCACTTATTACTTGTAATTGGGATGTGTTTGTAAGTTGTTTGCATAGACCACATTATTTTCAAATGATATATATTACTTATAATGACATGTTTAGCTAACTAGACGGGAGATAGATAAATCAATCTTAGCAAACAGAAACAGAATCAAAATATAAATTCTAGAGTGGATCTTTTTATTGTCATAAAGTCTAGGGAACATCGTCCTCTACAGTGTTTATGGTGAATATTTGGTCCAAATGTAGATTTTTTTTTTAAAAAAAGTCCCTTTTCCTAACTCACGATTTCAGTAGTATGTTTTCAAACCATTCTCCGAGAGATAAGAAATGTTAACATTTTACTAGATTTAAATCAATATAAAAGTAATTATGATCTTGGCAGTTGCCATGCGTCTTTGTGAGCCTGGCCTTGTTATTCTGAAGACTAACAGACCCTTGTAAGATCAAGCCAGCTGCACTGAATGGACAGTTTCATTAAATTTGAAAAGTAACAGGCCTGGTGGATATCGATATAGATTATGTGGTTCCAATAACTGTTTATATAACATACATATTTCCAGTAAGAAAGCTATTCATCTCATTATAGTTTTTACTCAAAAATGTCATGTGGGCTAATCCTAACAATGGAAGGGGGGGAGGGCTTGGGTATTTTGAGAACCCCTGTAGAGGGACAAACTGACTTATAGTAACATGTTGGTAGCTTTGATAGTCTAGGAATTTGTAGTTGAAACAAAATAATGTAAGTGCAGTATAAATCCGACAGCTTTTGAGCCTGCATTCCAAATTAGAAACTGATGATATCAAGATTTCATACAAATGAGCCTGGAGAAATGTCTCAGTGAGTAAAAGCACTTACCATCTACAACCTGAGTTCAACCCTAAAACACATGGTAGACAGAACTGGCCAAAAATTGTCCTCTGCCCTGCGTGCACGTGCACACACACACACACACACACACACACACACACACACACACACACACACAAACAGACATCACACATACAATAAATAATTTTTTTAAATTAAAATACCGTACAAATGAAAACACTTGCTTAAGTAGAGGTGTTGGTTAAGTTTTGATGGTTCACACCTGGTTTGGATAATTGGTTAGTAATTAAAATGTTAGTTCATTGCTTTCCCAGGGAATCTAGACACACTGTCTAAATTTAAATATCTTTTTTTTAGCTCCCACTGGCAGAACTTTCTGTCAATAAATAATTCAGAAGGTGGATTTAAAAATACAAAAAGACTTGGATATATGCTTATACATAATATTATTTAAAAATATTGTCATGTAAATTGGCAACTTTTATATAGTCAGATACATAAACAATAGAATCACACTTAACATGTTTTCTTTGGTTTTTTATTTATTTTAGAGGCTGATTCTATTTTATATCTTGTAATATTTTATTATTATGCAATGATAAGGATTTAACCCAGGCTGATTTATGCCTTCAATCTCTTCATCCAGAATCCAATTAAGTAGAACCTTTATGTTATGAGACACTTTATTGCTTCAAAATCTTAAGAGATTCATTGTTATGAAATGCCTTGATATCAGGAAGTTAAACTAACCAAACTTTTGATACAGATTCTTCTAGATTTTATAGCACTGTGAGATAACAAAATATTGCTTGCACACAAAAATGCTTTATTGATGAAGCTTTATTTTGCTTTGCTTTTTCCTCTCTTTTATCCTTTTTAAAATTTTTATCATTGTTTTGTGTGTGTGTGTGTGTGTGTGTGTGTGTGTGTGTGTGTGTGTGTGTTGAGAGTAGCACTAAGCCAGAGAGCGACACTAACCTATGAATATAAGCATAAATACTTAGAAGGCAGTTTGACAACACATCCATTTGACACACAGAGAGAAATAGCATCCTTCCTTCCTAGGCCTGTGATCTTCTAAACATGGAGTTTAGATTATGCTTACAGGACCAGGTGTGAATTCTCTTCTGTCAAGCAGAGCTCAAAGCCAACCCCATAGTGGTAGGTTACCCACTAACATCCATGCCACTATCGAACACATCTTGCTTGGCACATCTTGCTTGGCAGGTCAGTGTTGTAGCATTCAGGGTTCACTGCTAGCAATGCCATCAATAATTTTTCTCTCCTGTATTTTCCTTATTTTAAAACTTGCATATATTCATTATACATAGTAATGCCCTTCATAAGGACATTTCACACAAATATATGATATAGTGTGACCATATCCCTTATCTCCTTCATTCCCCCAACCTATGGGCCGTGACTTCTTTGTGGGGGGGGGGGTCGAACGACTCTTTCACAGGGGCCACCTAAGACCATTGAAAAACACAGATATTTATATTGCAATTCATAACAGTAGCAAAATTACAGTTATGAAGTAGCAACAAAAATAACTTTATGGTTGGGGGGTCACCACAACATGAAGAACTGTATTAAGGGTCACAGCATTAGGAAGGTTGACCTAAACAGTTTCCCATCTCTTGTTATCTCATATATACATATATTATTTATGAATCAATGTAAAATCTAGGACCCATAAAGAGAAAACATATTTGTCTTCTTGAGTCTGACTTAACTCCCTCAATAGGACAATGCTAAGTCCATCTCCACTCCATCCATCTTTCTGCAACAGATACAATTCTATTTTTTCTTACGGTGAATGAAGTTCCATGGTGTATACACAGCTCAGCTTCTTTATCCCCTTTACTGAGCACCTGAGTTGGTTCCACACCTTAGCAACTGTGACCATTGCTTGATTGAACAGCCCTGTGCAGATATTTGTGACACACAGACAAACAGTCCTCTGGGCTTTCTTCCTCCTTTTTTCCAAAGTAAGGGAGATTTTTTTTTCCGGAAAAAAAAAATGTCAGAATGAAGCAAATTGTGGTGAAAGCCAACGTTCCATTTCTTGAGCACTAATTAGAACTTTGCTGGGAAAAAACATTTAATTTCTAAGTTTGACTTATCATCTAAAACAATCAGTATTTCTGAGGGTCAGTTATTATTTTTCCCTTAAGATGAGAAAAATCAGAAAATCAGATACGAGGTTAGGCGAGTCTTCAGACTCTCCACGATGCAGGGTAGGATGAAGGGGTCAGGAAGTTCATAGTCCTGGCTTGTACCTTGGCTCCCTCCTCAGGGTAAGGAAATGGTGCCATCATGCCTTTGTAGCTAGGATGCACCACCCGATGCCCTCAATGGTTGATGTGAACTACCCCACGTAACCATGATGCTGACCTTTTGGTCAACATTTTGCATTCCTTTTACTTTTTTCTTTCTGGGTAATTTTAACTTGCCAAAATAATAGATAGTGTTCCTGAACAACCACTGAGGAGGAACTTCCTTGCTGTCCCTCTGGGTTCAAGTCTCAAAGGGCAGTGTTATTTGTATCGTTTGTTTTTGTCAATTGGAGAAGAGGTGATACTGGTTGCCTTCTTCTGGCATTTAGAAATCAAGAGCTAGGTGCTAAACACGCTTATGTTACTGTGGCAATGTCTTAGTTACTCTCCCGTCCTTGCGATTAAAAAAAAGAAGAAAAGAGGAAGGAAACGGAACTCAGCATCTCAGACTCCGGCCTTGGGAGTCCCAGGACTACCGCTGAGGGTTCAGATGGCTGAGTGCTGGCCAGGGCTGGGCAAGCCATGGTGCTCCAAGGCCCCTGACAGCTGTGAAGATGAAACAGTCTGGGAAACCCACTTTCTAAAGCACACTTCTTGGATCTTTTAAAAGTAATTGACATCATAAGGTTAACTGTATAAACACAAAATACGAACCCGGCAGTGACCCAATCCATCCCTCTCCATATAATCTTTAGGGCTCAAAACTTGTTTGTTTTTTTTCTTTAAAAAATGTGATATGAATATGGAGATATTATTTGCTTTCATGAGTTGGCAAGGGCATTGCAAATGGCCTTCCTTATGCTATGGCTATGGCTTCCTATTGCTATGGCTTTCCCCAGAGACCTGCCATTGCCTGGTGACACGTGACTCTACTTTGTAACTCTGACAGGGCAACTGTGGCACTGTCCATTTGTCCATGTTCAGGAAAGAGATTTTTATTGTCAAACATCTGAAAATTGACATGCCAAGTATTAAAGACATGTACAAAAACACAGGTAAGAACGAACATTGTATAAGACCAACAAGAAAAATAGAAAAGACAATAACAGCCTAAAAGCCTTCTAGTGCATAAAGGAGCTAAGGATGCCACAAGGAAAGACTTTCAAGTAATCAGAAAGGTAAACCCATGCCCCCCATATTTTTAGAGATACACAAAATGGTCTTGAAACCAAGGGAGATTCAAAACTGTGTTTAGTCCTAGGACTATAGACTCTAAAAACACTGATGATGGTGATTTTCAGGCTTTAGCAATAAAATTTGGAAGTGTCTGTAACAGATACCAATGTAAATGATGCATACAGACATTGATAAAACACTCTGCCGACCTGCTATTAATGTTTTCCATGATTACACAGTGACTTAAAATACAGAGAGACGAATGTAGAGCAGAGAGAACTGTTCCTGCATCAGCACCCAGAGTTCAGACACAGAATTGTTTCATCCCTGAGGGTGTTTTAAAATACCACTGGTTAGGAACTCAAAATTATTTTAGATTTTCTTTCCTTTAAATTAAGTCATTCTGAGCATCTGAAAAAAATCAGAAAATGTTCTTGTTTAACAAAGAGGCATGTTGCAGAAGACAGACAACGAAGACAGAATGGAAATGACCAAGAAGAAATTCTTATTTGGCTTGCATTTTAGACCCATGGAACAAAATCATTTTAA